TTGGCTTAGCGGTCTGAAAAAAAAGAGACAAACTTCAGCAGAGCATTATTGGTTAGTATGTCAGAAACAAACACGTAATTTTGTCTGGTCATAAAAGTCTAAATGGTGCCAAGGAGTGCTGTTGCTGCATGTTAATCTGCACTAAGATAGATTTTGTTGGTCTCCCAAAATATTGGCTCAAGGACCCTTCCATATGTAACTTTATCTGCCTATACTGTACGATCTCAAGTTTGAGTACTGAGTGATTCCATCCAAAGGCTTGGTGTAGTTGTAGTGGGAGTTGTTTCACAGTGTCACTGTAAAAGGAGCGATCTTACAGACTGTAATTATAATATTGTCATCCACATTACGAGGAGGGCCACTGAGGAGCACGCCTGGATAACGGTGACGAGAGTTTAATTCACCTGTTGGTGAACCTCCAGTTGAGTGTCAGTGGATGTGCCCATTCTTACAAGTTTAAGATCTGAAGGAGTGAAGTCCAGTGCGGCTACTTTGGATATATTCTCATAGCTCTACTTCACATTTTTAAGCCCAAATGTCTACCTGGGGGTGATGAGATTGTTTTGATCTAATTGTAAATATTTGGGCTGCCACGTGTAAAACAACTGGTTCTAATCCAGTTCAGTCGCATCTCATAGATGTGTGATAGCAGTTTTATAAACTCTGTCAGTAAACTCCAGAGAAACTGGCAACAATCAGAAAATGTCAGATTTACCTCAGCATTGAATTAAATGATTGCTCCCATGTTTAGATTGACTGGAAACCAGCAAACTAGACTGTCCTTGACCACCTATTTTTGGAGCCTCTGGTATAGCCTAAATGATACCTGATTGGGAGCATCCTCTTCAGCATATAAACAACCTGGTGCCTTACACACTCCACATGCTTACACGCTGGCCTGGTGCTTTGGATCGCAGTTTGGCATTTTGTTTTTATGTTACTGTTTTTCCTTTCTTTTTCCCATTTTTGTGTCTCAGCCCCCTCGTGTGCTAGCGCACGACTCGTGGTGCTAAAAGGGTTTGTTAACAAACTCTTAACAAAAATAGGAGCAGAATTCTTAACTTTTTTCTGCTGCCTTCCTTCTTCCCTAACTTCATTGCCATCCCCATTCCCCAGCCATCCAGGTATCGGCCTACATGTAAACATGAAAGGGGGTGGTCACCTAGATGCAAGATGATGCAGAAGAGTCGGCTCTTCACTAGCCAAGCGCATTAGCAGGGAGAGCAGGGGCTGACTGGGGTACATCGGTAGCGGCCTGAAAAGGATACAAGTTGTTGTTGGTGGCAAGCCCCCCTTGAAATGCTCATTCTATGGCTTGGATAGTTATGTGCAAGTTGTAAGTCGCTCAATTAATGGGGAGTAGCAAGCATGTCTTGTTTTGTCTTCGTTTTACGTAGTTTTACCTTTTCAGCATTATTCCACTTTATTTGTAATTTTGGAATGTTTTCGCCCACAAAAAAATATTATCTTTTTTTTTTTTTTCTGTGCAACATTTCATCACTGTGTGCAATATCGTATGTGCCAATGGTGGCAATATATGTATATCAATTAAATATATGATTACTATTTGAAAGCATGTGGCTGAATTCCATGTTTATTTCTCATGATGGAGTTGTATGCCTTTATTTGCACTCAAAAGCTCCGCTCTGGAGGAAAATATAGTAAACCAAGGTCTATAGCAGCCTGTTGGGTCAAGCAGTTCACATTAGTACTTTAACTTGAAATAAATCAATGTCACTGCAAGTGGAAAAGGGTAAACCTTGCTTGTGGGTTGTTGAAGGAAAACTATAAATATACAATGGAGTTTTAGTGAAAATGAAAACTTAAAAAAGGTGAAATCTCCATTTTAGCTTTAAGCTAAGAAACGGTGCTTCAGTCTAATTTTTATTAAGGTGTATGGTGAACTGTCTTCAGTGATTGTTGTGTCTAGCACTTTGCTTTCCCAGGTTAATAAAACGCCTGACCAATACTTGTTTAAAATGATCTCAACAAGGAATGTTGTTGTCTCTTATGTTGCCTCTTTTTTTAAAGAGGGTATTGGATTTGCTTATTTGGTATTGATGCATCAAATATAATTTATGTACATTTGACAAATTAAAAGAATAATAAATTTAATTTACCCAAGAGGGAAAATCTACATTCAAAATGTATGTGTTTTTCATGTTTCATTTCTTGTTTTTGGGTGGGGGGGCTTCCCAAAATGTCTACAATTCACAGTTTAATTTTGACGCTGTCTAACTATATTTTAGAAATAACTAAAGCTTAATTTTACAGCCTTTAAAATGCAAACAAGTACCTGATAACTTGTCTTCTTAGAGGTTTTTACATTACTGTATGTGTAATACCAGGCTGTAAAATAAAGCATTACTTTGTCATCCTGACTATGCAATTTGTGATCATCTGTATGCAATGACTGCAGTTCTGTGAGCTTTACTGCTCATATGACAGCACTGACCCAACAGAACCTGCATGTCTTTAAAGTTTTATAACTGTTTGCAAGTATATTTCCTTTTTCTGGTATGATTTTTTTCTTGGTTTGCCCTACAATTTTAATTGTATATGTGATGAACACAAGCCAAAGAAAGACTTCATCAAAATGTAAGCAGGCTGCAGGTCTTCACTTTAGGCTTCTTATTAGTTTATTTATTATGTTTATAGCTAAGTTAGAAGAATTTCTAGTCACAAGTTATATTTCTGGTTTAATACCTGTTAATAAAATGGTATGATGTAAAAGATGTTTACTGTAAATATTGAAGATAGGTCAGGCATTATCCTTCACCACTGTAAACAGTCCTAAGCATCTTCTTGACCACCTAAGCACATTATAAAATCAATATAAGGATGAAAAATCTCTCACCAGCACAGTCTCCAGGAAGGTCAGAGTGCAGGGACATTTCTGCAGGTCACTTGTTTGTGTGGCCTTTGTTGTGAAGTTCATGTTCTCCAAGCATCTTACGCCCCCTGCTGGCCAGGAAGAGAGGTGACAATAACAGATGGGGATGTGCTAAAATGAGATGGACTCTAGCCCAGATGCCAGCTCAGTCTTTGACTTCAGCCAAGAGCCCACGTAGAGGAGCGGTTTAGGTCTTCACAGCTTTCGAAGCACAAGTGCAACACATCAGAACTGGTGAAAAACTGAATTCAGTCAAAACAAGAATATCTTTGTGAAAGCACAAATGTAATGATGACATTCTACAGAAATCCTTTTGTTTTTTTATCATGATAGTTTGTTGGTTGTGCTAGTGAGAAGCACACTGGCAACAATTGCTTACAGGAATGCTGCTAGGAAATATTAATATAACAGGTTTAATCTGTTCCAGCTGCCACATTGCCAGCTGGAAAATAGCTACTTCAAATCAAATTCATTCTTACTGTTGCTGCAATTGCATTTGAATATTATGAACGGCTTTGCTAAAATGTAGGCTACAACGCCTTGTGACTTGTTTCCTTTTTGTGTTTGTGTGTCTGTGTGAACCTTTACTTGTGGTATAGTGTTGCTGAGCTTTGCGGAGCCATGATGACAGCGTATGTTTGGAAATGCTGTCTTGACATTGATGTTGCTTCAGTTTTTACTCATCTTTGCAATTTAGTGCTATATTCTGAAGCAGTTAAGCATATGTTTTGGCGGTGACGTAATCCATAACATGCGCCTCTGGTTTTGGCCACTAGATGGTGCTCTTTAACTACAAATAATAGACTTGGAATCCAAGGGAGAGCAGCAGGAACGCTTCTGGCTTTTTGTTTTGTAGCAACAGACTAGATTAAGTAAACAGCTACTTAAATAAATGCCACAAGGTACATGAGCGCTTTAATAGAACTTCTACCGACATCGAATGCACACCTAAAAGTTTGACCGTGTTTGATTGTTTAAACCTTTGTGTGATGTAGGTAAAATTAGACTTATCTTTTACACTACCTGAGCTCATATATTAATGTCACAGTACCTGGTGAGACCAGGATCAAGACATAATTTAACTACTGTATCTTCATCATTTAAAACAAAAACACACAAGGAAGTGTGTGTACTGTAAATATAATAATGTGCCACTTATCAGCTATGTGATGACAAAGTAATAATACATTTCTCATACTTTTTCATACCTTGATATGTAAGCAGTAGTCAACTTAAGTACATGCAGTGCTGTAGCCTTCAATAGGCACTTTCGATGTTTGGATTCTAACATGCAGTAGCATCAAGCATGTTAGAATCCAAACAGAATAGATCTTCTGACTCAACATCATTGAGTGAGACTGGGATTAGATGCAGAGACAAAAGAAACTGAGACAGCCTAAATCCACAGACAGTGTCGCAAGTTCTCCAAGATGCTACACAACCTAACGACCTGGAAAGTACCTTGATAACTTGTGTGCAATTGTAGGAGAATTGGTGCTGTTTTAAAGACAAAGGACTGATTGGATTTTACTGTTTTTCTCCATTTCATATAAAGTTAAATGATAAATATACAGTGCATTTGAAAAATGTCCTCATTTTATTTCTTGCACCTACAACATGCACAGTAGTGCATATATACTGTATGAACTAAAAATGAAAGTGTTTTTGAAGAAAAAATTAAAACAACTGAACCCTAGACTGTGTCTATTCAGGAATTAAGTCCCATTTTGCACCATATTTATTTGTGAATTTACTGTTGTTGAGTTTTGCAAATGGATTTTCCACTTTCTTTTACAACTTCTTTAATGTATGAGGCCATCTTCCTGAATTGCTTTCCTCCTCCCTTTTTATAAATTGTCTGTGCTTGTGTGTGTGTGTGTGCATGAGAGAGAGAGAGAGAGCTCAAGCTCATGGAATGCTGTGATGTCATCACAAAGACGAGGAGGACCCACAGGCGCTTAGTCTCTCAGAGTAGTTACCATAGTCTGCTGTGGAGCGACTGTCGGCATCCCACTGTGAGTACTTCAGCATATTCTACCCTTCTCTCACAACTCCCTTTTGTCTTGTATCACTTAACTTTCTCCCCTAACTTTCCCCTCTTTTCCTGGGTTTTCTTCTGTGCACCGTACACTCTGTTTAGTAGCCACCAGTCTGTATTCTACCAGTGT